TGCGCCCGGCTGACGTGTGCGCCGGGTGCCGGCCACGACCCATGCCGCCCATGCCCCAAGTGTCCTCTGCCTTCCCTCCGCAGAAACCGGAGGCCTGCCACCAAGCCCCTGTCTCTGCCTCAGTTTCCTCATCTGTACACAGGCCCCGTAACACTGGTGCCAGCGCTTGGCAGGAGTCAGCACGGGGAAGTGCCCTGTGGGGCGATCCCTGCTATTGTCCTCATTTTCCCAGAGCTGGAGCTCCCTCCTTGGGAGCCTGGGGTGGGGCGGGGCGAGCCGAAGGGGAGTCCCCACTTCTGTCTGTTAATTTGGATGTCCACACAGTCGGAACCCGACCTTGCTGCAGGTGGACAATGGTAATGGCACACCACTCAGCAGCGGAATCTGACTGACCTCAGCTGCAGCCTGGGTCGGTGGGCCTTCCCCTCTCTAGGTCTCAATTTTCTCACCTGTAAAATGGGGTTGTTGTGAGTAGGAAGGAGGTCAAGTTGGTCAGGGAGATCCAGGGCCCTCTCTTCTTGGTGTTACTAGGATATTAAACAGGGATGCACAGGCCAGTAGAGACCCGGGAGGGCTGAGCGGCAGGAAGGGTGGGGAGTGAAGGGCCCCCTGGTGGGAGGGAGTCCTCCCAGAGCTGTGTGGTCTGAGCAGGTCCACCACCTTCTCTGGACCTAAGTCTCTGCATCTGAAAGAGTGGGCCAGGTGAGCTGAGGGCCCTTAGCCTCCCCTCGACCTGAGTAAGCCCTCCTCCCACTCAGGGCCCTCATCTCTCTCTAAATAACAGACCTCCTCCTTTCACTCCCACCTCCTGCCACAGATAACCAGAGAGGCTTTTCCATGACAAATGTAGTTAAACAGAGATGGGGTCTCACTATGTTGCCCAGGCTAGTCTCAAACTCTTGTGCTCAAGTCATCTGCCTGCCTCAGCCTTCCAAAGTGCTGGGACTACAGGCATAAGCCACTATGGCCAGCCCCTTTTCGGTGATAAAAATCTGTCACTCCAGTGGTCAAGACCCTTCTATAGCCCCCTGTGTCCCCTACTTTCCCTACTTTGACTCCCAGGGAAAGGCAGTCCTTTTTTTTCCTTTTTCTTTTCTTTTTTTTTTTTTTTTTGAGACAGAGTCTCACTCTGTGGCCCAGGCTGGAGTGCAGTGGCACAGTCTTGGCTCACTGCAATCTCTGCCTCCCGGGTTCAGGGGATTCTCATGCCTCAGCCTTCCAGGTAGCTGGGATTACAGGTGCCCGCCACCATGCCAGGCTAATTTTGTATTTTTAGTAGAGATAGGGTTTCACCATGTTGGCCAGGCTGGTCTCGATTCGCCTGCCTCAGCCTCCCAAAGTGCTGGGATTACAGGCGTGAGCCACCGCGCCCAGCCAAGGCAGTCCTTTGAGACCCCAAATGCAGTCCAAAGACCAGTAGCATTGCTACTGTTTGTTGGGAATGCAGAATCTCAGTTCCCCCCCAGGCATTCCGGGGTGAATCGGACTCGGATGTGCACACGAATGCCCTGGGGACCCTGTTTAACTATGAAGTTCCAAAGGCACTCATCTAAGCAACACTGTGAGGAAGCCCTGGCCTCATTCTCATTTTACACATGGTGAAAGCGAGGCAGGGAGGCGAAATAACTTGCTTGAGGTCACACAGACACTAAGTAGCCCAGATTCCAACACACGGTCTGGCATGAAATCACTACCTTACACTGTGGGTTGCCATGGCAGGTGATGAACACCCTGTCACGAGAGGTGGGTGAGCAGCGGGTGGGAGCTCATTTGTCGGAGATTCAGCAGCGGGCCCTCCTGCTCTGGCAGGGAGGTGGTGATCATAATAGCCATCAAGTATTGAGCATGGGTGCCAGGCATGGGTCAGGCCTGTTACTCAGGTTCTTTCCATCAATAGGCACGCGGTTCCGTGGCCTTCAGAGACTCGCTTTGCAGGGGATGGACCTTGAGGTCCAGGGAGGTGAGATGCCTGGACTAGGTTCCTCTGGGAGGAGGAGCCAGGTGCTCATCCCTGGGCTGTGGCAGGTTCCAAACGGCCCTTCTGTTCCCTGCTCCCCTCCAACCCTGCCCAGATGCCTCCCCCTCAGCCGGTGCCCAGAGAAGGCGGAGGCTATTTAAATCCCTCAGGTGTGGCTGCAGTTCTCTCTGCCCAACCAGCTGGCATTTCCTTCTCAGCGCCCACCTCCTCCCCAAGCCAGGGAAAAGCACGTGCAAGTGCCATTTGGTGAAAACATCTGTCCTCCTGGGAAGCAGCCCCCACTGTGTGTGTTGGGGGGGAGGTGCGGTTGGAATGAGGCTGGATCCTCCCTTTCCCTTTATTTCCTCAAGACCACAGGGAACCTGGCCAAGGCCAGGGACGATTTGAGGAGGGACAGTGGTGCTGGAGGAGAAGAAACCCAAGCTGGATGGCTCCAGGGGCTAGACCTTGTCCCAGGCCTGCCACTGTGGCCTTGAGCCTGCCATGTCCCCTCTCTGGGCCTCAGCTTTTTCATCTGCTAAATGGGAAAAATAAAGACAGAAGTAGGCCAGTCACTTTAGGAGGCAGAGGCAGGGGGATCGCTTGAGGCCAGGAGTACAAGACCAGGCAAGGCAACACAGCAAGACTCGTCTCTACGAAAAATTTAAAAAACAGAAAATAAAACAAAGAATAACCAGGCATGGTGACACAAACCTGTGGCTCCAGCTACTTAAGACGCTGAAGCAGGAGGATCGCTTGAGCCCAGGAGTCGAATGCTGCAGGGAGCTATGATCACATCACCGTATTCCAAACTAAGTGACAGAGCAAAACAAAAACAAAAAAACAAAAACAAAAAAATAAAAAGAGGGCAGGCGCAGTGGCTCATGCCTGTAATCTCAGCACTCTGGGAGACCAGGCGGGCAAATCTCTTGAACCCAGGAGTTTGACACAAACCTGGGCGACCTGGTGAAACTCTACTGCTACAAAAAAAAAGACAAAAATTATGACCAGGAACAGTGGCTCATGCCTGTAATCTTAGCACTTTGGGAGGCTGAGGTGAGCGGATCACCTGAGGTCAGGAGTTTGAGACTAGCCTGACCAACAT